TCAAACTCTTTGCATTCAAATGGCCAAGTGATCGATGCCAAAGCTCCATAACTTTATTCTTTGATGATGATTGCACCACCTTTTCCGAATCCGCCACAAAGATCTTGGTGAAGATCACTTGAAACAAGTTATCCTCATGAAGTGACTTTGCAATCACATCTGAAGTCTTCAATGTGCATCCGTCCACATTGAATTGCACCTTGAATACACTAGACACAAACTTGCTCACGAAGAGCAAGTTTGCTTGCAACTTGGACACATGAAGGACATATTTCATCCTCATCTTCTTCAAACTCCTTATTTCAAGCACCTCAACAACAACGCAATCCATTCTAAAGGCTTGCACAACACTATCATCATCCAAATGCACATTGAATGGTGAAATTACATCATATGAGTCAAACGATGCTCTATGAGGTGTCATGTGCTTTGTAGCATCCGATATCATCTTCTTGCATCATGATGGTAAAGAACTTGCGACGAATAAAGAGAAAGTTGAACAAGCTCTTTGTTTGATGGATGTTGCACAATGTCTTACAGGCTTCCGTTGATCCTTTGCAATACTTGATGTGGGCAAGTTGATTGTCCATCAAATTGACTCCTATCACAAACATCGCTTTCTTCACATTGCAATAGTACTTCTTGATAGCCTTTGGATTCTTCTTGATGACTTTTGAAATAAAGTGTGGTTGTACACCTTGAAGACCAAGGGAGACTGCCTTGGAAATTTCAAGGAGTTTAAGACACTTGTGGAGATGCGATCGATAACTTAGAGCATTAAAAACACGAGATGTTGTTCAAATAATTTTAATTAACAAGATTGTTTGGCAGTATTTTGTCAACAAAACACTAACTATTAGATTGTGTCAAAACTCAACACTATTAGATGAATGACTATTTAATCATTATTTGATAAAATATTAAGTGCTTTGAAAGAAGATTATCTCCATTTTCAAAACTTGCCAATAGAAAGCAATTTTTTAGTATTGAAAAATGTAATGATCATCTTCATGTATAAAAATTAACACCTTATACTTTGAAGTAGTTAGACATTGCCGTCAAATTAGGAAGCAATTGAAGAAAAAATAAGAAATTTGTACTAATCTTTGCATATTCCATATTTTGTTTTTAAAATAATTCCTATTTTGTAGTTAAAATATACATACTAATGATTTGTAATATAAAAATACCTACTTATAGAACTTTCAAAATAGCCAAGGCTCAAACGTATGTGATGGTATAGGATTTTTTAAGCTTTTTAATGACATAATCATGCTTCTTCTCTAACGTTGTCATAAAATACATGTATTATTATTGTGTTATCGTATGAACAACAACATCATTGAAGAGTGTTTTGTGACAACTTACTAAGAACTTAATTGTTTCCAACACGCAAGTGAAAATATTAAACTCTTCTCCATACTTAAAAACTAATCAACAATTTATTTTATTTTGCAATATATTTACCTATATAGATTTTGTCTATAAGGTTAGTATTAAGTTATTTTTATTATTTATTCTTACAAGTTCATGTTTAGAGCTTATAACCTAATAAGTATCTTCTCACTTGTTGCAGGATGGAGCTAGTTATCTTTCACTTGGAAATAATTAACCCTTTATATAGCAAGGAGATGAAAGTTTTGGATACTAGAGTCAATGTTCATTCACATAAACATCGAAAAAAGACATCCATGTAAACTCCTTGGTTCATTTAGGCTATATGATATATGTGATATCCGTGTGATAAAAAGTAAATTTTGCGAGTTCTAGTCTTTTTGATCAATGTCAAAGATGTCAAGTTGTCAAAATTCACGGAGGAGGCCTAATTGCCACCTCCGCGTTCGAGTAGTCATGCCACGAGAGTTCTTCCCCGCCAAGAGTAACTACATTCGCTTCGGAGGATGATAAACTTGATAGAGGCGAAGAGAGGCGGCCATTGCCATTGACGTAGATCTCAACTGAGAAGAAGGGCTTGAAGCTGGACCCGACCTGCCTCGTAAATATTATTGAACAAATTCTTTCAGTAGACGTTGGTGTTCAATGCGAATGCGTTGATGTCCTTGCTTTGAACGAGCTCAATTTCTCGCTTATACGTGTCGATGAAATCCTTTGCGTAAATCAAATAGTGAGCAAATACCATTTTCTCAGCTGTGGCCATTGATGCACGTTGTTCTAGCATCAGTGCTAGCTAGAAAATTGCAAAAACGAACGGAGACTTCATTGTGTTGCACTTAGTGGTTTCAAAAGATGAGAATATGGATGATTCTAAATTGGACTTTTTTAGACGTACTCTGTTCCTTTAGTACCTGGGCGCATGCACTGCATATCTGCAGGATTTCATACAGGTAGTACCTCAGGAGCAGCAGGAAAATCTCGCAATGCTCTTTGAATCATGACTAAGACAAGTCTCCTTATTGACCTCCCGGTCTTGTATGAAGGTTGAATATTCTGCATACATACAAGTCTGTGAACTACATCGGAAGGATGCAAGATTTGACACCCTGACATCTTTGACGTCGATCAGAAAGATTAAAACTCATGAAGTTTACTTTTTATCATACGGACCCTATAGCCCAAGTGAAACAATGAGTGACGTTTGTATAGTAGGGTGAGGTCTAATTAGCCCCAGGTGAGAAATGACTAGCCGGCCCCCTTGTTGCAACCAGTTTTGATGAGACATAATAAATTTACCTAAATATGTGTTGATAATTTAATCATTGAATCAAAATTAATATGTTTTCCTTCGTTGCAGCAGGTTAAGTGCAATCCATCTAAATCAACAATGTAGCAAGTGACCAAAATTGAAGTTAAATAATATAGGAGATGACGTTTCAACCGGAACACCGATTTAAGATACTAAAACTTTGTGGCGCTACATGTAATATGTGTACCATGTAATTTGCTATCATCATGTAATATAGCATATTACATGGATGTGAATGGTATGTTAGTGATTTAAGCGTTGGAAATTTTGGCCTGTTAATGTTTTTCAAATATTATTCACCACGTGAGATTAAATCACAACTTTGAAGAGTTATTGGTTTGAATCCGATGTATTTGGACTAGACCTGGTAAACCACACAATATCCATGCATGCGCAAGATAAGTTGGATATATCCGTGGGGCCTTGCATCAAATAAACATTGAAATTCATGTCATATGGTGACTTTGTCAACTTTTCAAAAAAGTTGTAAAAAGTGATCTAAAGAGTGCACAATTCATAATCTTGAGAATTGGATGACGTCAGGAGGGCTCACAACATCCAAAAATATGGATCTACTTGCACGAGCATAGACAATTAACACAACTACCAAGATCGAGCAAATACCTTGGAGGTAGGTTTCACCCCCCGGGAGTTCAGGCTTCGTTAGCATTGAGACCACCATCAGAAATCAACATCTTTTCAAGAATGTACGGGTATATACTTTCTGTTTGGGAAGTTAAATATTAAAACCTGGATTACCACTTGTGTAGTGCATGCAGTACAATATGCACTTGCTAAATAGTTCGCATGGTAGTCTTGCGATTTTGAACTAGATTTTTGCTGAGAAAAGCAAAAATCTAGTTCCAATAGTTGATGTATTGATAATTAAAAAATTGGGCCGAACTCGCAAATTGCATGTTTGCCATAGCCATAGGCAAGTTTCCAGGAAAACATAACGATGTACGATCTTATCATCGGGAAAGATGTCCTTTTGATATGATGATCTAAAGTTAGTTTATTTTGTTTGGGTCGTGATGGACGGGTAAGGCTTTTACCATATAATGCTTATTTTTTCAAATTACATTTGATTCTTACTCAGTAATGATTAGTTTTTGATTTTGGATATTCTCATGATGTGCAAAGTCATTATATCAATTTCTAGCAGAAAGAAGCAAGCACAACTATAAAGTAAAATAAAGAAAATTTCCCGAGTACTGCATGAATCTAGTCTTCTCTCGTGTACATCCGCTAATTTCTCTAACTCCTTGTTTGATATTGGAAAAGAAAGGGTCATCGAAGCAGAAGATATTCATAAGTGGCAACGATATCCATTCCTCCCTCAAAACTCTACTTCACGCAATCGATTGTTGACTACGTTTGTTCTTTGACTAACTGTTCATTGGCTCCATCAAATGCTTTGCTTATGAGCAACTTGTATCTTTCAACCATCAAACTCATACACCAGAACAACGTAATTTTTGTGCGCAGTGCACATTATACTCTCCTTTTTCAAATAATGTATAAATCCCATGCCTAAAAGTCATGGAAATGTAGGTTTCTTGTAACTCGTGTATACCTGCTATCCACTTGGCCCCCTTTCTCTTGCAAACATTGATAAAACCTTTAATTCTTTTAATTTTAAAAAAATATTAGATCCGATAAATATTAACCAGTCAAAGATATAGTACTAAAAGCGAGAAGGTGATGTCGACCCCAGGTATCATCTCTACCGCGAGATTTCTGCTGATTTTGTAGTTTTTACATAAGTCTCAAGGCCCCCTTGAAAGTGGGCTTGAAAGAAGACACTGTTCTGTAATGGATAAATTGTTGCTCATGGACACATGAAGACGGCTACGCTGGCATGTGGTTCACTCTCCACATCTGTCATCTGTTTCCCATTTGAGGGAAACAGATAACATATTATTTGATTTGCTTCAAATAGTGCAGGATTTCTTCAACTTTATTGATTTCTTCCATTTTTCAAGTTTTGATACTGTTTTATTTTCCTCTTGTATCACAATGAATGGGTTAGTTTTCTGAACTTACCATATCAAATCATTGTACTTGACTTGATATAATATGTTCAGTATAACCACATGCTACATGTCTAAAATTTTAGACTTGACTACAGCTGTATTTGAATGAAAATCAGTAGACATCAACCATAGATAATCCATTTAGACTTGAAGTATGAATAGATAAGTGATCTGATGAATATAAGTGACAGATGAAGATCTGACAAAATCAGTCACTCATCCTTACACAATGGCATTCAGAAAAATGAAAGATTTTCAAACTTGACTTCTCCATTTCATAGGTGGCGAAAGAGCCTCCAATTGGAATGAATTCATAATCTGCCCTAAAAAAAGCAAACCCGTGGTCAACTCATCGTATCCTGTGTTGTGTGGTTCCTTGTCGCTCACCAAGACTGTGAGGATCTTCTTTCTACTTCCTTCTTTTCCTTGTTCATGGGGACCATGTGGTCCAACTGCGCAGACAGTCAAACTGAGGCTTCCGCTCTATGTTTGACCCTACTAAGCAGGAACATAGATCGTGCCTTGAATGTATTACAGTACATGAGAGCTATTTTACATGAGAGCTTATCGCGAGTCGAGTATTCTACGTCCGTTCATTGGAATCAACTTCACTCGAATGCCTTTTACTGGGGCTATATACAGATTCTCTACAACCTGGCTCCAGAAACCAGCAATTCGTTCTCCAGCAAATCGTTATCACAATTATGGCAGAACCTAAGCTTTCCTATTCTGGTGCAAATTGAATGAAAGGGTTTCATCTTGTCGAGATTTTGAACGATTCTGTGCCATATAGCTGTATAGCTCTTGCAGTGGAATGAAATGGTAGCATGGGAAAGTGTCCAATATTAAGTATTAATTGGTCGGTTTCAAAGAAGCTGAAAATTCATAGATAATTGATCAATTATATTGGCAGCAATTTTACACTAACTTTCCCATACCATCTCGATACTTTGATCAAGTTGTCAGATGATAAACAGAACTTCCATGTATATATACAGACTTCTGTCTGATTCCCAACTAGCACTTCAATTGAGCCTTCTATTCTGTTCATTGCCAAATTCACGGATTGAATCTGAACGAAGCGATCTCCTTTTTTATGAGAGAAGTGTGATTTCCTACCTTTTGATTTGAGATTACCAGAGGCGATCACGGGAACGTTGTTCTGATTGACGGATCGGAACCCGTGACCTGTAGAGTCTTTAAGATTTCTCGAGCTTTGAGTTTGGTGGCTGAGTTGATGTCAGGAATTGAAATGACCCGAAGTAGTTTGGCAGTTGCACCAGCCTTGACGGCTTCAAATTGCAGGTGGAGGTTGGGGTTGGTGGTCAGGATGGTATGTAGCACATTCACAGCATGCTCCGTGCCTGAGTGGGTATATTCAAGTATTGACCGCGCCATTATGGGAATCACCAGAGCATGCTCAGATAAGGCAAGTAACCCTTCACTGCACTTACAAGAGATCAGATCCAAGAGTGCCAAAGCTCCTTCTGCTATCTCCGTCTTTGCCCCCGGAATGAGCTCAATCACAGCAGTCACTGCCCCCACCGCTATCGCGACTAATTTGCCAACCCTGGGCAGACAGATAGCATATAGGCATCTCAGAATTCCCGTGATGTCCAAATACTCCTGGTGTTGTAGCATATCTACGAGACCTCGAACTAGTCCTTCCTCCGCTCCGAGCATCAGTAAAGTATCATCGTCCGCAACCATGCACTCGATAATCTTTATCACGCGCACTCTCACATCCAATTCACCGATGCGCAGAAAATAAGAAAGGGCCCGGGTCATCGACACGCCAATTGCAGGCAGCTGTAATTTGGCTTCTTCTTGGTCTGAGAGAGCAGCAAGAGCTCCCAAAGCTGCTATGGCTGCTTCCTCGTTCATCACTTCTGGCCGGGTGCGGGAGAGGACGGAACCCAGAATCGGCAGAGCTCCCCCTTGGCAAATCAATTTGCGATTTCTGTCATTCACTTCCGACATGATGTGTAAAGCTTTCAGTGTTTGCAGGTTGTCTGTTTCAACCATGATGTCTTCGAGAAGGAGCCTCACGTGCATATCCGTAAGAAGTGTTGGGCTCGTAGGGTACTTGAGTTTTTTCTTCGGAACTTCCATATTCATCTGCCAGTCTAGTATGCAATCTCTGAGGGAAAGATTGGGAATCAGCTCCTCGGGACTGACCTCTACCCAAGACTGAGGACACATCTTCTTCCCTGTGCTGAACCATTTCTCTATGCTCTTCCTATCGTACGTGTGCCCTGTGCTCAACATCACAGGATCGCTCATCAACTCCAGGGATATTGGGCACAGAAAGTCGGAAGGTATCGCCGGTGGTTCGGTCGCAGACTCGCTCACAGACCTCCTTCTCGAGGTCCCCATGCTCGAACTTGGCTTCTCTGCGTCACTCATGTACGGCGTGCAAAGCGATGTCTTACTTACAGAGGTCACTTCCTCGTGCACTCCAGATCTTCAATTCAGGTCAACGAAAAAATCATGTTCACGAGCATGCGGTTTCTCTTGACTAACGGATTACTCCATGCAACTCTCAGGCGATGATTACCCCAATTTTCCGAGTTCGAGGGTTTGAAAAATGCAACCACTTGTACAACCACTTTTGACTTTCATCGTCGCAGTCTTGCAATCGAGTGCAATTTTGTTTGCTTGATGTCACTGACCAAAGAGACCAAAACTATGCACGCAACTCTACTTTGTTCTAGTCGAGTCCGCTTCGTGCTTGACACTCTTCTGGTCTCTTTGATGGTGGCAAGTCCGTCGTTCAGCAGACGATGCGCTCCGCCTCGTGCTAATTCCCCGCGAGTCTAAGAAAATTTGAGCGAAGATGCAATGGCGAGTGACGGCTTCCGTACACAGAGATGGCATGAAAAGCATGGGACGATCGGATGATATCTCTCGGTTCAGCACTGGCGATTGTGGTGGTCTAGGTCGAGACTTATTCAAAGGTCGTCTGTGGCAACAGTGGTCTGATGGAAGTGTGACAGATAAGTATTAGCATGATGATCTTATTTGAAGGGGCTGTAGTCCACGATTGCCTCTCATCTCGTAAACCTCCAGGACTGGCCAATTGGACCGTCCAATGGCGACAAAAAGTCAATGCTCGTAATCCATTCCGTCATCAGTGTGAACATTATTCGGTCAAAGTTGCTGCTTCGGAGTGTTTCCGCACACAACGTGGCCTTCCCAGAGGACTTTCTTTCGGAGAGGGCAGCTTTCAGCGACAAGACCTTCGATTAAAGCAATTACCGGCGAAGGAAGCAAGAGAATCCAGCAGCAGCAGTGGTGCCTCCCTACGTTCGAGAGTCTCAGTCATTGCCCACGGAGGTTTTCAACGACACGAGACACTTTCGGAAATTCATCTTGCGGTCCATCTTGACATTACAGCTTCCCATTACATCAGCATTCGAGACTTACTTCTCCTCTCCACCTCTCAGATTTTCCACCACCTTCGCCGGCTGAGTACTTCCAGCTCGAGCTGCTAATATGTCGGCGTACTGGAAACTTTCTCCTATCCAGTGAAACGGAACTTCCCAGAGTTGGAACATCCACTTTTCGCTTTTAATGCAACAAACAACGATTTAGGACTAAATTTGGCCTCCGATCAAACCTGTGCAGGACAGTGTACAACTTGCGGGACCTCTCCGATCCTGCGGGTACCTGGTTCGGGCTTTCACCCGCAGTAACTCGGAATTTGCTTGCCTCGCTGGTTTCAACCACTCTCTCCTCGAGAGGGAAAGAGAGAAGCCGGCTGCTTTACTGGCCATGCCTCCCCAACCCGAGTAGCATACGAAGTGAAACTTAAGGTCGGATTGACGGCTCCGAGGACGGAGCAGCTTCTCCCTTTCTCTTCGTCTTGGTGTAAAGTAGTATTATGGGGTTTCCAGCTATGGGGCAGGATGCGGGCTGACACATATCGGTCATTCCACACCAATTTTCCCAACTGGTTCAGCGTGGGACGTGCCGCAGGGTGACAATGTGCTGCATTTGGTAATGTCTGCAGCCTCACGTGAAGCTGACAGCGGGTGCAACCTTTCTTGACCCGTCCTGGTCAGTCTCGGCGAAAATATCAGAATTGCACAGGGCTTTGAAAGAGGGAGAGCGAGGTCAGGATCTCCTTTAATATTCACGCCCTGACCCGATGATGCATGACAACGTTGGACCGCGGAGAAGAAGCAGAAGCAGGGGCAGGACGTGCAGCTCGCACTGCATGGCTGGAACCCCACCCGATCCAATGGAAAGTGAGAGGGCTCGGATCCTGTCGATTGCCCTCGTGTTCATTCCGTTTTCCGTGATCAGAAAGTTCATGATCGAAGAATTGACTTGACCGCAAGTTGCCGACTTGCAGTTGTAAATCTGATCCGATCAACTGTGTCGTGCTCGGTTTAATGTGGTCACTGTGGGTTTGCAACGGTAACATGGACGTCCATCTGGAAAGATCGACTGCAAAGTTGCTCCCGTCTTCGTCCGCATGACGTCGATGGGGAGAAAGTTCTTCAGGTCAAACTTCCCGAATATAGTCATTTCGAGTTTTCCACGTACCTCATCGCAGAAAGTGTCGAGCATGCATTGGATCGCCTTGCGGTAGGGGTGGCCATTCGGCTTTGAACTCATCATACTCTGTCATGTTCGTAATCTTTGAATTCTTCTTCGAGATTTCTTGGCATCTCAAGTTTTCCTCTCCTTAGACCAACGATTATGCTAAATGTTTGAGCCAAATTCATTTGGGCATATTGTTGCTCGGATTCCGCCACGAGTTTCATCTATCTCGGCGCAAACTATGACGCCCATCGAATCAAGATCTAAGTTTCCAGATCGAGATCTTAGATTCTCGGAATAAAATCTCCTTCTTATCATAATTATTCTTGAGCTTACGCCCCCGCCCCCCAAGAACTTTTTGCTCACTTTTAACGCCGACCTTAATACATCACCTCATATATATGCGGTGATGCACCAATATTCCTCGATGCCGGAACTCCTAACCACCGTCGATTAAGAGCATCGTTGAACGTCGAGCTTTTTGTATCATCATGATGGCCTAGCTCATATGTCCAAGCTTATGTCAGACTACAATTTTCGTGTTGTTTGCGAAGAATTCAAACTAGCATTCCTTCTTTCTGACATCTGCTTGAGAGCCAAAGAGTTAGCTCTAGTGAATGAGTACGCCTTGACTTCATCTCAGACATGACCATACTCACAGTTGGAAGGAGGAGGACTTTTCCTAAATTCACGGTCAGGTATTCACCCACTGGAATTAACAGCACATCCAGTCACCAGTCGCCGGTGACTCCATCCCGCAAATTTAGGTAGAAAGAGAGAAAAGTCTTTGAATCCAGTCAAAGCTATGCCAACGAACAAGGGGTTGGCAAGAAGACAGTTATGATTGAAATTAGTGTGATTGTTATGGCCATTATTTTAAGACGAGTCTTTCGTGTGCATTTTTCGATCACATGTTTGAGATTTTGGTTCGTCAGTTGAAGTGTGAAAGAAGTGACGAATTTTATTTCAACTTACATTCATATAAGTTGAAACTTCCTTCAAATTGCTTCAAGTAAGCCGTCAAAATCTGCTACCATTTTGGGAAGAAACCGTAACCTATATCTTTTAACACTTCAATGTTTTCGTACGAGACACTTTATACTTCTCTGTTCAATGCCATCCTATATTACGACACACTCAGTAATTATAACTTACCTTGAATACGTTTGCATATATTGCCCCTTATCAATATTGTATCTGTTTTTAAATTGCAATATCGAGGGCATAAGTTGACGACATGGGTCCGTTGTGTGATGCCCCATGATCGGAGTATCTTCATACCTGTTTTCCATTATATCTTTGTTAAAAACCACGTGAGATATATGTCGAAGCCTCTGCACATCGTCATAATGTGTTTGGCTGATTATAGTGGAGCAAATACTCGAAAGTATATTTAAAGATGCAAAATGTATCTACTTACATCGAACCACACTCGCTAAGGATGAGCTCATTTCTTATCACGATTCAGTTCTTTCAATCCTCAAAATCGTCCCAAATTATTAGAGAAAACACGTTTAGAGTAAATAGTTCAAGCATGCTTTCTATCCCGTGGATCTGGTTTGACTGCTCTTTGCAAACCAAAAGAGGTGGGACAACACACAAAAGTTAGCAAATAAGCAATGGTATATTTTTGGTGGGGGATCCCAAACTCTAAACGGTGGTAGAGGTTTATATCATTTTTTTGGGCTATCGAGAAACCGATTATGGTAGAATCTTGTGGACTTTAATACAGGTCAAATAAATGTCATAAACGATTCAATGCTAGAACCTTTTTCTTTAACTGCTGACGAAAATATTCGACAAAAATCTCAAAGATCGTACTACGAATATCTGGAGTCCCCATCTTAAACATCGCAAGAAAGTCGATCTACTGCTAGATAATTAATATGTTCCGGCTCAACAAAATGCATATGAAGTATGTCATCTTAGTAAAGAGGAAGCAAAAAGACGTATGTGAGCATCCCAGGGGTCATTTAATGGCATGTGGTACGCCAAAGAATGCAGCTGAACGCGACGTGAACATTAGCATGCTACGACTTTGAAACAAAGTAGAACGTGTTTAAATTACACGTTTGTTCCAAATATCATGTGCTTTGTGCCAGAAATACCATGTATTTCCATCGTGGACGAGCGAACGCAATCCGAGAGAAACTTTCCTGCAAACCTAAAGCGTTTCCTTAGGCGAACAATAAATGCTGCCTGGATATCATCCTCGTACAAATCAAGGAAATAATATAGTAGCGGAGCAATGTTGAAAATTGCAAACCAGGACAAGAGAGCTTAGCCCATAAGGCGGGTTCTGCCAGCCATGGTCAGCTTAATCATCAAGTCAAGATCAAAGAAGACTCAGATTCCATATATTATTGTCGCCGATAAGAGCCGAGACAACAATAATTGCAGTTACTAAAAGTGGATCTTTCGAGTGAGCATGTATACCGCAAGTTCACGATCGAGCGTAAGATAAAGAATAAATCATCAGCTGATCTCCACCCTCAGAGCCAGCTACCTTGAGGAGTTTAAGAAGTCTGTACCAATACAAAGGAGGGTACGAATACTGTACCTTAATAGTAGCCGATTGGCGGCCGATTTTATGACAATAATAATAATAATTAATAAGTACTACACAGTGAAAGGAACCGGATCAAAATCAAAGCAATGCTAGAGAGGAATAAAATATTATGGAATTTCCGCACAAGAAACACAAGTGTTAGATATACGAAGTATCGTCAAAGGCAGAAGAAGCGCTTCGCGCACCCACCAGCGCAGGCTCGTCTTGGACCGAGAGAAAGGAGAAGAAGTGATGGCGGCATACAGCTGATGCCGAATGCACTGTACTGGCCTGAAATCAAGGGAGTGAATGTACAGCGGAGTCGAAGGTAAAGTGCCGTCGTATTTGAGTCGTACAGTGTAGATTACAGATTCTGGTTCCAAGACGAGGCGCAACGGCGGAGTATAAACACATTTGTGCTGCAGAAGCGGGATCTGACGAGGTGCTGGAAGTGGCCTACGTATGACCGACAGAGTCGCCAAGCGGGCGGGCGATCACGTCTTGTGGGGGCCGTAGTGCGGGTGGGGGTGGGGGTGGAGGAGAAACTCCTCCTACGACGACGAGGGGGAGAAGACCGGACTCGGTCGTCAGCCAGAGAGCTTTGTGGTAATGAGGGCGGTGGTGCCGAGGGGCGACCGAAGGTGGGGGAAGGCTGGGGGAGAGGGGAGAGAGGTATTTGCCGCAGGGAATGCCCACGGAAGGAAGGACACTGGAATCGTGGGACTCGGCCTCTATCCGTCCCCGGCTATCAGCATCGGCCTCTCTCGATCTCAATCGCATGATGCTCGGCATGGTTCCAGTGCAGCACTGATCCTCCCCTCCCGGCTCCGACGGTGCACAAGACCGTTTCCGTTGACAGGGTCGTCGAGTTGAGCGAGAGGCTCCAGCCGCATGCATTTCCGGAGCTCATCCCTCCCTCTCCCTCCTGTCTCGTCACCTGTGACTCGCTCGCTCGCGATCAGATCAGCTCAGCTCATCGCGGCGTAAATCCCAATCTTCCACATGATCTCGTTCGGGTACAATACGGTACGTAGGCTGCGTTCCTTGGAGGATCATCTATCTACAGCACGCCAGGCGGGATGCTTATAACAGCTCCCTTCAATTCGCCACGTGTGGCCGCTATAGGTGGGCTTCTCGCTATAAGTGTCCTCTGATGCTCGATCATCAGCTCTGGATGTGCACATGTGCAAACTCAGCAGTCAGTCGTAGTACGAGTACCGCTGTCAGAGCTTCCCTTCCAGAACAGACACTGTGAGCCAGACCCCCCAACCCCAGGGCCCAGGACAGCGAGCTCTCTCGCTCGCTCGCTAGCCAGCCAGCCAGCCAGCCAGCCGACGAGAGGGACGCTCTGAGAATGAGGACGTTAGAGAGAAGAAACGCAGACGTAGAGCAGTACGGTGCTGTATTGTGATCGCTTGATTGGTTGGTTTGGGTTTGCGTTTGGGTTATGGTTATGGTGGTAGTGCAGTCGTTTTCGTCGTAGTAGTAGAAGTAGTAGTCAAAGACTGTTGATAAGCAGATGGAGAAGCTCAATCGAGCTAGCGAGGCGAAATGGTCGACAACGGGGAGAGGATGTGGAGTGACTAGTCTGTAGGGCGAGTGATTGCTCGCTCGCTCGGTGGTGGCGAGCGGTGAGGTGAGCTGAAGCAGGTTGTGCAGATATAATTTACATGTGCGCCGGGGTGGAAGAAGTTGGAGGCGGGGGAGGAGGAGGGAATCAGATCAACGAAATGGTTTGGTCGACGACCACGTCGAAGAGGATGATCGCGGGCGGGTTGTCGGTGAATGTACCCGTGGTGCCGACGTATTTCCAGTGCCCCATCTCGCTGGAGCTTATGAGCGATCCCGTGACGCTGAGCACCGGGCACACTTACGACCGCAGCAGCATTCAGCTCTGGTTCCATGCGGGCAAGAATACGTGCCCGCAGACGCGTCAGGAAGTGAGCACCAAGGACCTGATTCCGAACGTGACGCTCAAGAATTGCATCCGCAGCTGGCAGCTGGCCACGCGAGTGGTCGCTCGCAATGACCTCAAGTTTCCCTCGAGCCCCCGGCTGCTGAACGAGCAGAATGTGCGGCTCATGCTCGACGACCTCACGGTCGTGGGCTCCGACCGCCTCGAGACGCTGAAGGCCTTGCGAATCATGGCCAAGGCCAGCGACAGGAACAGGCGATTGATCGTCGACGGGGGCGCCCTGCCTCTGCTGGGATCCATCATCTCGCGAGGCTACAAAGTTGCGCGAGATCCCTCGTCCTCCGAGCAGGATGAGGAGGAGGAGGAAGAGAGCTCCGTGCTGCTGCGGGAGGAAGCGCTGGGTGCGTTGGTCGCGATTTCCAGGAGCGAGGAGATCAAGCGCAAGGTGTTGCCCGCCGTGGGGCTGGCGAATCTGCCTGCTCTCGCGTGGTTTCTGCACCACGGAAGGCCGAACGCCAAAATTCACGCCGCTCGGATGGTCGAGTGCTTGGTCGCGGACGATGATTCGCTCGTGCAGCTCGGCGCCGCCCAGGAGCTGGTGCAAGGGCTCGTGGGACTGCTCCGGCAGCACGAGCTGATTCCGAAAGCGGTGAGGCCGAGCCTGCGGTCTTTGTACGCCATTTGCTTGCCCAGGAACAATCGGTCGATGGCCATCGAGGCGGGCTTGGTCGCGCAAGTGCTGGAATTGCTTCCGGGAGCTTCGAAGGAGATCGCGGAGGGGGCTCTGGCCATCCTCGATCTCATGTCCAGGTGCGGCGAGGGGCGAACTGCGCTTTACCGGCACGCGCTGTGCATTCCGATTATGGTCAAGTCGCTGGTGGCGTATTCGAGCTCGGGCACGGAGCACTCCATCAAAGTGTTGCATTCCATGCTCATGAACGATGTCAATCCTCATCGATACAAGGAAGCGATCACGAATGGAATCATCGCCAAGTTGCTCCTGGTCACCCAAATTCACACCAACAATCTCGACACGAATTCGAAAACGCGAGAGCTTCTGAAAGCTCTCCAGGTCCATTGTGGTGCGGATCCGTGCGTTCGAACTATCAAGTACTCTCGATGAGGATGACGATGACGATGGCGATACTTTTTTTCCTTCCTGTTGTACAGCAAATGGAAGTGTAGGCACTGACTTACCAGCTAGCTAGGCCCTTCGTTACCGATTCATCTTAGAGCGCGGCAAACTTGAACTGATTTATCCAAATTCATTCGATTTGGGAATTCGTTTTTTTTCGAGAGTGAAAATGCAGCGTCCTTCACTGAGTGCCACGGAAAGCAAAATGGGCGACACGAAAGGTCCGTGTACAATCAGTGCAGACGACGTACACTCCGAATCGTTAGATTAGAAGCGTGGTGATTATTATAATCTTCTTGCAATCTCAGAATGTTCTTCATTCGATATTGCCCCTAAATTGTGATCTCCACTCCCATTGGAAGTGGGACACCCCCTTGTACATTGAGCATAGAGAACATTCAATCGAAGAAGCAGCAGCTCTGAGCAGCTACTGAGGTCTAGCTTCCCATTGAAGCTGGACAACTTATGTAACAACATCTGTGTCACGCCCTTGGACCCAAGAAATGTATTTTACAACCAAATCCACGTTCATTTCCTTTCTGCAAGTCATTCTTTCTCTTCCTTATCCCTGATATGGATCACGCTGACGACAAGAAATGGGGGATTCTGCTCTCGCAGTGGTGCCATGTCGCGCTCGAATACCACCATCACACGCTGTTGTTATTATGAGACAGTGCCATCCCGGCCGTGGGCTACGTTTACGGCCAGTGTTGAAAAAGTCCTCCGAGTCGTTCACCGGCACTAGGCGCTCACAGTGGCCATTCCATCCACTAGATGGATACTGCTCTTTATCGACAGCATCTGTTGGAGTTATCAATCGGAGTTATTTATGGCCCTCGACGACGAATGCGGCCATTCCAACACTTGTTCCTCTTCATGGCATAAGCCAAAATGCCGACCCACTGTTGGCTACAGGTGCGATCGCTGCAGAGTGATCGGACATAAAATAAAAGTTGAAGGTGGTTTGTGGTTGCTGTTACAGAATATTTGCCGTGTCATCGTAGTGTTCGTTTGATTCCTCTCTGAAAAGATGAGCAGAAAGAACTCCTGATTGGCTCCTGGACAATGCAGGGCTGAACTGGTTGGGGTGTCCAGAACCAAAAGCAGACTTGGACTTGGACCCTTTCAACGGCCACGACTGTCTCATAGCTGTGATGATGAACTGCGATGGGGGCTTTATGTTGCCAATTCATCATCCACCATTATGGGTGATATCAATTACGCTTGTGACTTCCACTGTTCGGATATGCACGTCTGGTTGAAGCAGATAAGAAGTTTAAAAGATATTTGTGCTTTGTGCTTTTCAGATGTTATTCCTTCAGAATGAATGATGAGAAATTTCCGAAAGCACCGTTCTGTCACAACATCGGTGATAACTTAAGAACCCGTGCGCCACACTTCCGTACCATTGCGTACTTTGCAAGCTTGCACATTCCTCTTTAATTACGGGTGGGGAAGAGGATTCACAAGAAAAAGGAGGAGAATCTGCTGCAAGAAACCGAGATGTTAGCGTCAAATGCTCAGTTTAAAAGTAGAAAGCACTTGGTGAAAAAAAACTATTACAAACAAGAAGTGACGAGCTTCATATGAGAAATCCAACGATGTTTCTCTGGTTTTAACAGTGGATGCAACGACAGACTAACATCCTTCGTACAGTACGCTATCTAGCATTAGGCCGGGTCAAGCAGACCCACACAAATGCTAAAAGTGAGATGGTATTTTATTACATCCGTGAATGGTACAGGTCATAATCTTCAATCTACACCGATGCAGGGACCTCGTAACATTTCTTCGACATGAGAAATCTGGCAAAGTTTGATTCCGGCTCTACATACACTAATTCACAACTATATATAAGGCAGCACTTCTAATTGCAATTCTAGGACATAACAGACCTGGCGATAGGTGAAAATCCCTCTAGCATGATGATGGTCTGTGTCGAAAAATGACCTCAGGGTATAATAAGCCCCTTCATTTACATTTAAGCAATTCCTCCGGAAAATCTAAATGGCTTCCTGGTCCCGCTGAAATAAGACGTGTACATCGTCTTCAATACAGGTCATGTAGAAGGAGTGGCGCGGGTGACTCCAAGTATGCAACTACATGTCGCTAATAAAAATAGCTACTTTCTTGACAGCAGAAATACAAGGCTCGAGGGTTGTGGGGTGGGACAAGGGCTACCGATAACTTCGACCAGTTGGACAGAGCCATGATTCACAGCCAAGCATTTTGGTCTTATCAAAATTGCTCACTTTCTTTCCCTCTTTGATCCCGATCATAAATTTCCCCTTTATAAGCTGCGAGGTGACTTCCGGTCGAGAATCGTCTGGCTGCAGACACAACAGATGAATTGCAGAGTCAGCAGGTTGCACATGATAGACTCAGAAACAGAGATCGAAAATCACCGACAGAGACTCTCAAACTGTGTTTCACTTTAAGGGAATATTTAATATCGAAATCACATTCTCTCTGGACTTACGGTTTAAGTAGGGTTCAGTCATCAGTCACATAATCAATCACCTTACGATTGTTTTTCGAGCTAGTGAATCAGGCTCATGATATACAGAGCTCTGTATGTATATTACTTGCCGGTTTGTGAAATATTCCGTTTGTATACACACCTATGCAGTAGTCATTCTACCAGTGTTGGATTGCTGAGAAGATTGGGGTGGAGTTAGCAGTCTAGTTGAATTTGGAGTTTTTCTCGATTCAGAGAAGGAAGTGCTATCTAAGGTTTTTAATCTTAGTGTTGCCTACCTGAGGGTAAGGGGAGTGGTGGCAAGCTATGGCTACACTAAGAGAGTCATCAGGTAGTAGTGATAAATCTACATTAAATCCAAGTCAATTGCTGCAACAGAGTTCAGATTATAAAAAATTTGAAAATATTAAAAAAATAAAAAATAAACACATGAAATGGTGATGCTTTGACTTCGTCTGGCACTATATCAAGCTTACTAACGTGCATGATGCGGCCATGGCTTGAACGCTTCATCCAGAAGCTTTCCTGTTTTCAATTGTATGGACCCTAAGACTACATGATCAAAGAACGCGGATAAAGGCCTCCTCAAGTGACAACTAAATATATATAATATGCAGACTAGCCGAACAGTGGGGAGTAAGGAAGCTGATTTGTAAGCTTCCCTGTATGCTACGAGACCCAGACTATATCGAGAGTCCACAGAATGATTACATAACTTAAACAAGGAGTGCATCGTCTTAGTCTATCTGACGAGGAACGAGTAAAAGTAAAAGAAAGTCAGCACCGGTTACAAATTATGGCGAACCAAGACAAGAAACCATGACGTGGGCTCATTGAACTGCCAACGAGAAACTTACGCATGTAGATGTAATGTGTCTCCACATAGTTGAAGACAAATCGAGGGAGGAATCATCTGACATCGAAATCAACAGGAATACTTTGTGTATCTGGCGCAGATTAATTAAAAGAATCCTGGATCAACCCAATGACGCAGTGAACCATCTAAGTTCCTTCAACTTATTAAACGTTTCATCAGTGCAACTGCAGTCGGAGGTAAAATCAACAAGCCGCAATGACGGGCTAGTTCAGAAGCAACGAATACCTGGTTCTTTATCTGCACGAGCCCGTAATTGCGAGATCTGGTCCAATCATGATGACGAAATGCGAACTTCCGGCCAGTGGCGGCTGCCAGGTTGCCAGCAGCTCGGAGTAAGTAGTAAGCTGATTTGGGAAGAGGATGGTTGGCTATTGCACTGGTTGTCAGCTGCCGTATAGACTCTTGGCGATCATAGATGATCTCCGAGTGACCACCACAATGCACATCACCTGGAAATCACAAACAATACGATACGCAAGGAGGTCTCAGAAAATTTTCTCAACCCGTCTGGTAAGAAGTGGGACTATCCGCTCCGACGAAGATATTGCTACACCACTGGCAAGATATCATCTGCTAAAATTCTATGATACCAGATTGTTTTCCATCACTCGCTGTTCGTTCTCATCAAGTTATTACTGAGAAGGTCACATAATGCTCAGCACGGGCGTATGTAGACTGCTCAATAGATAATATGTCCATATCTGACACAAGGAGTAAATGGGAAGGAAACTCATACCTCCAAGAACAAGTATGTCTCGCTTTGTGGAAGCTCCCTTCCAAGCAAACAGGATATCAATCATGCGTTTCTGCTCCTCGTAATGTAGATTCGCTGACCAATGGCCTTTGAAATCCACAAGTCGAGGAACGTTCGACGCAACGTCAGTAAAGTTGTGATCTAGAAATACAAGAGGAGCTGGAGTACAAACCAACAAGACATTTGCTTGCTCGAAAAGACCACCAGTGCCCATAACCCCGCTAATATCTTTCCACTGTTGAGCGCCCAAGTATCTGTGCTGGGAGGATTCTTGATCCTCACAACGGAAGAACGTACGAGACCCTCGAATGTCAATGAACATGATGGCCACTCCAGCAATTAAATGGAAATGATAATCCTGTACAAGAACGAGATTAGCTAGGTCCGATACACTGCAAAAGCAATACTAAAGACGTCCACTTACCATCATGGATGGCAAGGGGCAGGGCCGAGATAAACTGAGTCACACAAAATCATAGCTTTAGACTCTTCATTTCTCCCCAAGACTTAGAAGACATGTCCCGGGCAATCTTCCGACTATTAAAGCAGTGACTCCAACTCTTTACATGACCACTCCTATCTCTCCTGTCATGTTATATTTCAAAGAGAGACTTAGCTTGTCACCCATATGCAATTCTGCGTTAGGCACGTTCAAGCAGGCAGTCCTGGCTTCTGATAGTTTTGACTCTCACTACTTTATTCAAACAGGAATGTTCTCATGCAGGAGGCAAAAACTATCAACTGTAAAGATTAGAACTCCTACATCTCATACCATCAAAAGAGTTCAAGATAAGCACCTCTTGCTACCCATATATATCCATGAGAAGTCTATGTTCGGCACGCTCAAGCAAGGAGCCCTCATTATGGATATCCTGACTGTATATCATTCGTTATGCTATCAAGTCTACATCTCTTCAGCATCCCTCTAATGTGCGAAAATCAGATAGCAAGATGGCTGCGACTGAGGTAGTTTATGTCAAGTACCCTGTCTATAGCCTCCAGCTTGTCGAAATTCACGTCTTCATGGAGTTGTCGCTGGTACTCGAGATTTACCCTCCAGGCACACACCGCAATGAAGAAATCACTGCTTTCTTTATTCCAGTCCTCTGCAAGGTCAGCCCAGTTGTCACGGACTTCGTGATCATCATAAATCATGAGATTGGGACAGTTCGCTAAGCAGTACGCTGTGGGCAAGTGACGCCAGGTCCTTCTATAGACTTCTCGATAAAATTCACAGACAGTTTCATAGTGTTCCTCCCATTGATCTTTCGTAAAATCCGCAAGCAGACTATTGGACTTTTTAAAGCAATCTGACCAGTCTCCAGGTTCTTCTCCCGCCTCTGCATCCAGTAGTTTATCTCCGTCTCCGTAGATCTGCGTCACCAAACGCAGGAGGTGGTTAATGAGAGTCTGAAACGTTGTCCACTTGCTATGGACCATAGTTGGACCTTTGTAGTTGGCGATATCCACGCTTGCCTACATTTCTGAACTCGTCTTTTTTCAGTAAATTCCCGATGCACAACCTACTTCTGTGCAAACTCGGTCGTGAAAGGATGCACTATTCGAACAGACAGCTGACAGGAATTAGAATTTGACCTGGTCTTAGGTATTTCACTTCGCAGGAGATATTAAGAAAGAAAGCAACTTGAGAATAACCTGCGACCAGTGAAAATGTTTTTGCTGAATCTCGTGTTCTAAAACAGACTGATAACCTTTGAGAACAACACTCCGCAACTTTTACGACAGTTTGTGCTTTCTAAAATTTTGAAGTTCAACGTTGTTATAATGGATAATTTCCAGATGATTTCTTTCGTACCACAATTGGTATTGTAGACCTTCTTGCCTTCATTTTTTGATCACATCATCACTCATATCATATTTTGATAACACTAGTTCTTAATATTTCCAAAAATCTGTATGTAACAGTCTCCACCTTGAACCAAATTCCAACTAGATTGATGTCACAACCACTATTTCTAATAACTTATAGCTAATCCAATTTTCAATTTACAACTACTGAGTTCCTGCTTTGGTCTGAATTTAAGATAGATTCACAACACACCCCCAACTCAATGAGGAGGCAGAAACACACCCATCTCTCTTACACACTTCCTTTGCTTCTCTTTTGACAATGCTAATGTGCTCTGGTTGGCACATGAGTAGATATGTCCTCAATGAACCAGTCTGAACTATTTCCCTCCGCCCCGCCCTTCTTTGTCAAAGATTCTTCTCGTATAAACATATGCTTAGTACAAGGATCTTTTTTAGTATTGGTATTATTAGTATGAAGGGTTCTTTTCAGAGAAATAGTGCTTGACGGTTCAAGGAATAAACACCATTGGATGCAGATGATTTATCATCTACAGAAGCTGAGACAGATTCCTACATGACTTCGGAGAAACATGAATTATAACTGAAAAAATCTCCACCCTCTCGAATTAAATTTTCCTTAATTGGAACTTCTAAATGCACTTTCATTTCTTCTAAAAAATAATCAGTTCTTGAAACCTGATCATTACTAGATTGACCAAGCGTCTCTATTCTTTTGATGTAAATTTCCATTCGGAAAGGCTTCAAATGAATATCGTGTAGTGAATCTACTTCTTAACCCAAGTCTACTTCAAATACCACTTACTCTCCACCTCCGGGTGGAAAATAGATGCTTGCGTTAACGTTTGATATCTGATATCATCCGCAATTGTTAGAGGTAAAAAACACATGTCATCGAAACACGTGTAGTAGCTATGGCTTGTGTGATGCTTCTGTTTCTCCAAGTATTCCTAGAAGGAATATATGATTAGTTCTAGCGCTGTAAAGCAGTTACCCCTTCAATCCTTCTTCATATTCATTCAAGTTTGATGATTCAGGATATGGCATACCCTGAACAAACAGATACCCTCAACATGGTGAGATCAGGTTACTTACCACTCCATGCTTCTTCTGGTGTCATGCCCTTATCTTATGTTGTGGGATTTTGAATTTTGAGATAGTTGACAACCATAATAGTTGCATCCTCAAAACTGCATCTCAGTTTGTCCATGCTCAATGCCTTCTCTTGTAGAGATTGTCACTAGCTGTCACACCTGACACTATCCCCTTGCTTTCCAGATAAGCAACAAACTTCATGTTGTTAATCTCATATAATCTATCAGATCTTAATCATCTTACCTTTGTCCCTGTCTGAGTTACATTGATAGTGACAAAGACTTTGGACAATTGGTTCAAATTGTCTAGGCTATTCAGTAAATATACATAACTTTTCAACAATATTATGCACATTCTAAGAACTTGCGAGGTATCTTCCACACATGACTTCTAACAGCTCTTAAGATATGTAAAGTAACTGCTTGTTGAAAGATGACTTGTGTCAGTTTCCTAAGCAGGAGCATCACAGATTGCCACTGCACGTTTGGTACTCAAGAGTACTCCCAACATTTTATGTAAGAGTCTCATGTTAGACTTAGAAAGATGACCCAACCTTCTATACGACAACTCCATCGATATTTCATCAAGGAGATAAGTTTTCTCCAATTTGTTTTACTTCACCACTAGCAATTCTAACAACTTACCATCATTAACTTCATTGCAAAAAACTTGCCAATCCATCTATATGGTCTACCAATCACTTCCACCCCAAAAATGTACATCAAAACCTGCGGTTGTGAGCTTGATTACTGACATAAAGTTTCTGAAAGAATCAAATACATATCTGACTATCTCGTGTGTCGTAATCTGCTTTTGTCCTTTTTTTCTCCTCCGACAAGAGACAGAGGATGAATTTATATTGCGAAAATTGAAGATTCATCATCTATTCCATTTTTAACGTGTCTCAGTACTTTCTTCTTTCTCTTGAAAAGATTACTCTCATCTTCATATGAGAAGCACAGGCTAAGTCCAAGTACCAGCTAAGAAGGAAGTTTGCGGGTCTACTCATTATCTGGAAAATTTTCTTCCAACAAGTCGGCTCTCTCTTCCTTCACCACTGTTTGTGATCCTCAAGTCTGTGGTTAGCCCTTAAAGTAATTGTACTCTACTTTGACGTCTTTGCACTGGAAACTCACTCACCACATAAATAGCAACTATGAGTCTGTTTGCTGTTCCCCTATGTACCACTCTTCTGCCCGACTATTTTTGTTAAGAAGGAATATCATTCCTTACTAGCTCTGTCAGACTTAGTAGCAAATGTGATCATCTTGTTGTACGCATAGTTTTTTCATAAGAAGAGAATCAAATGCTTGATCTATAGGTTAATACTTTCGAGATAACTATGAAACAGGTGTGGGGATGAAATTCGGGAGGATCAATCTACCCTCACTCATCTATCTCAATGAAACGGGAATGAAACTTAGCCATGTAATCATGATCAGGTCATGCACACCTTAATCTTGCATGTGCAAATAATCTGATCTTGCTCACAAACCTTGGACCACCTAATTCATGTGTATGAAACATCTTCAACCATCTCAAGGTTCGCGTTGTTCAGAGTATACATGAGCCTCCAGGTGACAAGGTGGTTTAGTTAAACAACTCGTCCTCAAAACTAAGTTCAGAATGTCTGGGGATTCAAATATTTGCGGTAGTTGTACAACCTCAATATCTCCTCCACATTCAACGACTATACTCTATAGTTAAGATTGTTCAGATTCTCAACAAAGTTCCAACCCGAATGCAACTAGATTGTCATAAGCACCTCACATCTCAGTATTCCAACACCTCATTGCAGGTACCTAAAGATGTATTTTCTCACGTGTTTACTTTACTGACTGATGGTAGTCAACTTGAAATAATAGTGGTTGATTATCAATCAAACACCAAGTTAACCATATTATAAATTACTTTAGTTACCTCTTAGTGATTTATACATACAGTTTAATGTTCCTGAGTTGGTGCTGTGGTCTGACTTTCACAACGAAATGGATATGAATCAAACTAATAAAGCACTCACCTGGTCACCAAGATGTAGGCACATATTCACTTTGTTGAGCCTAATCATCTTTTCGAGATGTGCCCAAAGATCCGAATGAACCGGAATCTCCTTCTCTGTGATGAATATCTTGTTGCAGCTGATGATTGCGAAATTGAGAGATGGTGGAGCGATTCTGGGAAATGTGCAGAAACTACTCGGGACCGTTGGATAGCATCCTTTCAGCCTCACATGGTATCGAGTTTCTGGATTGAGATTCTCGAACACAAATATGGCCGGTCTCATTGCAACCAAAGACTTCTTCACGATTAGTCCACTTTTCTTCTTGTGCTTGCTCTTAGCTGCAGGCTGGCCATTAGGAACACCATTTTGCACACTCTCCTCCTCAAGCTGCATGGAGATTTCTCCGGGCTCACCAACTTCGAGCAGAATTCTTGCTGTACAATCTGTGACCTTGCCGATAACAGGTCCGACAGACACATTCACCTGACCTGAATGCTTTAATATATCCTTAATGTTTGAGGAACCGCTTCCCCGATGGAAACTAGTAAGCCTGTCAACCGTAGAGACGAATTTCTGCTGCGCATGTTTCTTTACGTCGCGCATCGACCATCGGGGCGAATCTCTGCCTTTGCCGTGCCTGGTCCCTCCTTCCGAAGGATCACCCATTTCGACCGCTAAGCACCTAGATTCTGAGTCTGAAACTGGATTCTACTCTTCAGCTGGATTTCTAAAAGCACAAATGCCGAACGAGCTCTTCAGGGTACTGCAATCAAGGCCCTTCTGCATCATAAGCAACTTGTTCCTAAGACCTGAAAAGGCAGAGGAAAAGGCTTAAGTATCAGGATCAGCAAATTTCATGACACCCAAGCGCGTGAATAAAAGTTCCCGATTTGTGCAAATCCTTCATAAACATTCCTACTCCAAAGACAAAAGAAAATAGGAAAACTACCTCTGATGACTTATACTGAAACATAGTGACTAGCAGAGTGCGCTCTCGGAAATTCATATAACTGTGCAGAAGTCTTTCCAGTATTTGGATATCACTGATCTTCCGCTCACAACTATATACAAAACAAACCAGGAGTACGATTGTGGCCAAAGCCACATCGAACAACAAGGTTTAAAACTCAAGGCAGACAACAAATCCACCGAAGAAAACGAGTACAAAGATACAAGCTAAAACATTCTGAATCAATCAGATCAAGACGGGAGCTAAATACCTCAACAGTCGGCTTCGCTAATGAAAGAAATAATTAAGTCTCATCCCAAACTGATGCTGATTCTTATTATCATCCTTCCCTTCCTTGACTGCGGAGCTGCAAAATAAAAATAAAAAGAGCACGTCTGAACAAAAGCGAAAGTTGGTGGAATGTTCAAATCTTCATCGTTTTGGGACAAACATACTGCCCCATATTGAGATGTAATTTGAATAGAAATTGAGTACACACCAGGCGCGCAAGCGAACGAATGGTTGTCAGCTGCAGCGAGCATGAATTCTCTCCTTCGGTGCACGACTACACAGAGACCGCTGCTGCAACAGCTTCCGTTCTCACGCTTCGTCTCTGGAAAAAGCAATCGGCACCAGCTGCACCATCTCCCTTTAAGTAAGCAAAAGTGCCCCCATGGCTCAGATAGATTTGCAGTCTGCAGTGCAACTTTCTGTGTCACGAATCACTGAAATTCTCACCACACATACACACTCACTCCCGTCTCCTGCGCATCACACTGTGCAAAACACCCGATGGCATCAACGACCCATCAATCTGCGGGAGCCCCGCGCTCCTGCACATCGCAGCTTGTAATCGAATCGCTTGAGCTGTCGTTGCTTTCTCAGTGCGAGCTTCCACCCATCGGGCAAACCTCTGACCGACAACTGTAGCTGGCCAGTTGGCTGCCTAGCTCCCTCCTCCACTCCTGATCCTCCATAAAACTCCCTCGCTGACTGCACCCTCCTCCTCGCCTTGCTGCAGCTCTCCTGTCATCTCTGGCGCACCTCAGCTGCTCCCCTGTTCCTTCCTGCCTTCCTTCCGATCCTCGTAGTGCCGGGTAACATTGGGGCCGAGCTCGATGCTACCCGCCTGGTTTCACCCGCGATCGGGTCAACTCCGATCCTTTAATTTTTTACTCTGCGATCCAAAAAATTTCTCGTGACCTCTTCGTAGCTCACCGCTGCCTCGACCGCTGAAAGAAAAGGTGTGCTCATCTCAACACTTGTCATCAACTTGAAGTGGATCATCAAATTCCACCTTTTCTCAGAGACAGTCACTCCGTGCCGATATGACATAATTCGGTCCATAATTCGAAGTGGGCCCCCGGTGCCCCCCACACTCTCGATCCACCGGGTGGGGCGAGAGACCGAAGAGCCGTTCTGCGTCGGGGTTTGGCGGTCCCGCTCCCGTCCCCGTTCCCGGAGGGCGGATGTTCTTGCATCGCGCTCGTCGGCGCCGAGACGGTCAGAGCACGAGCGTCATACAGAACAGGAACTCCGTACAAGAACATCGATGGATCCCCTACGTGCCGCTGTCTCCACGGGAGGGCGGCCCATTAATCCGCGGGACTTTCTTACTGTTTTCTAGCGGGGACCGGAAGTAGCCCGACTGGGGCGACTAATCCTTCAACTGACCAACGAAGTTCATAAAAGTTTGTATTATCACTTCAAGACTTATTTCTAAAATAAATTTTTTTATATTTACACTTATCTACCTTTAGCTTTTTTTTTAAGTTGTGTGCATTATGAAATCAAACCATACATAAGAATGTTCCATTATTTTTACGATGTAGTTTGAAAAGTTTGATCTGAGAACTAAAATGAACAAATATTTTACTCAAGTTGTAATAAATAAAGGTACGCGTCGCGAGACGAGCATTTGACGGTGTGGGGCCACGCTCAGTAAGCCAATCGGATCGCAGCGGGCTGCGGGCGTCCCTACAGATGAATGAGAAGAGGGCACGTGTCTCCAGCCCGACTGCCACGCCAGCGGAGCTGTTCAAGGTCGCCTGTCGAGCTAGCGCTCTCGTAATGCCAACAAAGGACTCGCGGCTCGGAGCAGGGACCGCAAGGACATTACTTTCGGTTTGTCCGCGAATTGGGACTCCGGTCCGTAATGTGTGCGTGCGGCCTATCCCAACGACGTCCAGGAGATTTGCCAGATCCTTTTCGTGACCATCGGTCGGTTGACTCTCCGGTTGGTGTTCTGGTACCTTTTCATACCGCACGCTGGTCCAGTTGGAACAGGAAATTATTTTCCTCCGGTGAGCAAATATAAATAAATAAATATATATATATATATAGAGGGCCGAAGGAATCCAACTAACATTAAAGATGAGTCCCAAAATGCAGAGGTTTATTGAATTCGGTGTACACGTAAACCATGCTGGTATTTGTATTAGGATCGTTACTTTTTTTATTTTCTTGGTTTTTTGGCCTGGAAAGTTTTTTGGAGGAAATAAATAAAAGAACGTTCATCATTCGAGTCTGTGACAACTTGAGCTTTTGCATGATGAGAGCAGCGAGATAGACATTAGCGGCTGTTGCTCACTTTTCGATATTTTCTTCATGGACAAAAGAGCAAGTGATGAACAAGTGGGACCTCTTTATGTGGAACATTGTGATAAATAGCATCTATAATTTGCCCCCAGGTGACACGTTGTTATTAAATATACATGCTCTTCATCCTCAAAAATGACAAAAAGAGGGGATGTCATTTTTGACATCCCCTCTCGTATACCCTAAACCCTAAAATCAATATTTGTTTTTTATATCTCAAATCTGGATATTTTCTCAAGACTGATTCTAGAGCTCCTCAACTAATCACATTACTGATACACCGGTGCCAAACCTTGTTAACCAATCACATCTCGCATGCTATACTACTTCACTAGAGTGCATGGATTTGGTACTAAATATTTGCATGTAAACAACCAAACAATAAATTAAAGAGGAGGGGGTAAAATTTGGTTTAAAAGTTATCTTGACAGTTGAAAGTTGACTTGGAATCCTTAGCTCAAAATTTTACAACTCATTCTTCTTAACCATGTAGTCCTGTATGAATACTTTTTTGAGAGAGAAGGCTTAATTCTACGTAAGTTCAAGGCAGCTCTCTAAATTTAACTTTCTATGTTATTTTCAAATCCTTGAAATATATCATTTGAGGTTGATCATGTACGTACTTACGATTTCAATTTGTCTACTTTGATACAGAAGATCAACCAATTAATACACTCACGTATACTTCATGTACGGACTTTTAGTATAGCATGATCAAAAATCATCTCACGAACAAAAGTCAAATTAAAAATATATTATGTTTCACATGATTTGCCACGAAAGCAAGTTCGCTAAAAGTCTCATGGAAGTCAAATATAAACTGTTTGAACAATCTCTTTAAACTTGAAATCTAACACAATTTTTTTTAACTTAACTGCATAAATTTCTGGAAAAACAATTTGGAAGAGTTTATATCTTAGATTTATTGCCATATCATAGAAAAGAAATTAAACATGTACTAACTAATGAACTCTAAAAGATAGTTAAGAGTGATCAGACTCTTAAATATATTGCTTTCGGGGCAAAATATGTGATGCATAATATACTTTTTAATTTGACTCTTGTTCGTCAGATGATTTTGATCAAACTATATTCAGAAATCTTTGTGGGTTAATGAAATTGAATAGTACTAGTGCATTAGATTTTATCTAATCTATCCAATTCACATTGATAAAAATCTTAGGTTATTATTCTTGAGTGTAGACAAATTTTGTTTGAAGAAATTATCATTTTAGTATCGAATTTTTTAAATACGATGTTACATGCATAAAATCCTACAAAACAGTGTTATATTTTTCAACTACTTCTTTTTAAAACCTAAAAATAGAGACAATCATCCATATATTGATGTTATTATTTTAGAAATAATCATTAAGATACTTGCAAATCTATATGAGCTAGTATGTATTCCAGTCGTAGCAATGTGTATGTTGCATCGACAAGTCTTTTCATCCATGTCTCTATAAATGAAAAGTCCGTCAGTGTATATTCCTTGCGTTTTTAGATAAGCTTCTTTTTTATTCCATAACTTCATTAGCAAGTAAAAGCAAGTAACTTGAATTGATTCAAATGATTCACATAGATATCAACTTTTTTACATTATATTGATACATGTCTGTATTGGAAAGTCAATGTATATTGAAGAAATTTTTTTTCGATTTCAGTACAAATATTTTTATTACAATTTTGTTCATCATTCAGATATGCTAAAAAAACCATGAAAATGAAAATCGTAGAAGGTATTCAATACTTTGTAATACATCTAGTTACATAACTTTGATCATGACTCATATTTTGCAAATAATCAATCCAATCATGATGTTTAAAATTTTAAATTTGAATCTCAGTCGATTAAGATGCCTATTTAGTGATCTAGTTGTTTCTTCATTAGCTTGCTGAAATCCAAATTTCTTCTTAGTTTTTTCGAATTTTTTGCATTTTACTTTTTACTTCTCTGATTAACCTGTGTGCAAGATATAACACTAAATATCACATGTAATTAAAGATAATTATTTTATAATTACTGCCAAAATAAATATTTAAAAATGACTCCAAATAGATTAAAAATCTCACAAAGTCAACACAAAATCTATTTATTTTTCATTGATTTCATTTCAAAATAAATAAATTTAATATATTTTTATTTCTTCATGATTTTTTATATTGATGAAAGTTAAATTTATGAAATTTTTTATATTCAATGAATCAATAAAGATAAAGTTCTTTATACATAAAATCTTACTGTGAATGAATTCACAGAATGATCCAAGGATTTTGACATTTGCAAAATATAGAAGGAAAATTTAAATTAACGAAAAATATAAAAATGAACCTTTGATTATTCAACAATGATCTTTGAGATTATTACTTAAAGAAAAATTAAAAAAAGAAAGATACACACTATGATTATGAAATAAGAACTGGTAAATTTTTTCTTATTTACATTATTCTTTTACTAAATAATTGTATGCAGAGAAAGTAATAAATATGATCCTTACATTTAACCTACCATTGATTTGGTTTGATAACAAACTCAAAACTTGTATCCGACATGAAACTCCTTTGCCACTTAGAATTTCAAAATAGTAACCTTGCATGTTCACTCTCTTCAACGTTACATATTCACATCGCCATCTATCTTCATCACATCTAAGAGAAGTGCAGTGGATGCTTATTTGATAACTTTTTTATGCGGGTTTTTTTTTGAAGGGCCAGACTAGGGCCACACCCGCTTTTGCTACGGCCACACCCGCCTCTAATTACCATGCCCATGCCCGCTTTTGCTACTACCCAAGCACACTTATGCTACAACCCAAGCGCACTGCTACTACCCAAGCCCCATCAACGCGAGAGACAACGACGGCCACAGCGCCCCGCGCCCCTCGAAGCCTCTCGACTACGCTCTCCTCTGCCTTGCGGACGAGCTCGGCTTAGCAGTTGGGTTTGAGGGGAGGCGTGCTTTGATGCGCAATCAATTGTTTGTATGTAACGGGTGTGGCCTTAGCAAAAACAGGTGTGGCCCTAGTCTGACCTTTTTATGAATACTGTTGATTCCAATAGCATTTTAAGTTATTTTTCTGCTTGAGCTTGTTCGGACCTTGTATATAATTATGTTGGTCAATTCTACGTGAATTGACCAACATAATTAGCTCAGTCATGCATTCTTGCACCTAATGTAAAATTTATTCTCATTATTTTACTGTTCAGAAACATGCTTATAATCCTTATTCAGTATGGTTTCCACCACTAATAAGCCCACAAAGTACTTCGGTGAAATTCAGCTCTCATTGGAATAAAAAGATCTCACTGAAAACGCCACTTTCTTAATGCCACAATCTCCCTAATGCCACAATCTTATAAGATGTTTTTACAATTGTGATTTTTTAAAACTAATATATAAAATTCGTCTCTTAAAATTCGGAGTAAGTAATGGCACAAAATTCAGTAAACTTTGCTTTGGTGCTAACCAGCATTTTGTGTAGCAGATGATGTCATTATCCACGTTAACTTTACATGTGAGAAAATGGGTTGGCATTTTTCATTACTAAAATATAAAGTTTTTCTTCAATGGTAAGATGCTACAGATTGGAAGTGTATAGTTTTAAATGAGAAATATCGAATCTTCATGTACGATTCGTTTTCCTTCAAACGTATGCTTGAAATTAGCAGCGTATTTTTCCTCCGTGGAATAAAGACCCGTACAATGGCTTAACTTGAACATCCTTTCATCTCGATATATTTTCATTATCTAATCTACAATCACATAACTCCTTTCACGACGTTTATTCGTCAAGCCCATTATCATGAAAACAACCTTACAATCCATGTGACAGCAGGCAACTTCAGTCTAATTAGAAAACATTTGAAAAATTATGTAGAAAAACTTGTCCATAAATTCATATCATCTGACGTTCCATAACGAAACCTTTACTTTTAATACGTAGGAAAGAATAAAGTAAAATTAATCCAGAATGGACTGTAGAAGACTATAATGATGATATTGCAAAAAAGAGAAATATTTTGGATGAGCGATATGGTATATACATGACACAGTAGGTGGTTGGCTATCGAGCGAACATGTGAAAGTGGAGCCTATGAAATAAAGAGCAAAAGCAAAAGAGATGGAAAGACCATCAAGCCTTAAATGGATGAAACCCAAAACCAAATAAGGAACATGTCCCAATAAAATCCCAATGTAAAACATTTTATGTGCACTCACCGTGTCCTAACAACGAAAATGAGAGAAAAATGGAGAGATAAAAATGGCAAGACCCCATAAACCGCACAACGAAGAAAAGACACCGTATAGTGTGATAATGCACAACCATATAGTACAACCATAACAAGAAACGAAATATGGATATGATAGAAAAAAATGAGAAGCGAGAATAGTGCATAAGAAGGTAGCATCCGGAACGGGATATGAGCAATGTGAAGGCCGAGTGGGGCATGGGGGCAGTGAGTGCGGTGGGGAGTAGGAGTACATGTCGAGGCGCTTCAGGGCCATGGGCAGTCACGGAACGTCGATGGCTCCAGAAAAGGCCCCAAAAAGGAAACAGGGCCTAAAACAGCGGACGGGCTGACCTGACCCGACCCTGGGGCCCAGTCCAGCCAAGTTCAGAGGCAACCGGGGGCCGGGGCCGGGGGGCAATCGGGGGTTGGTGGTTCGTTCGAGACTAGTAGTAAGACAGCCCCGAACTCGATCGAAGGAGCGAACGAGAGAGCGAGCGAGCAATCGATCGATCTGTCTGTCTGTCGGGCAATTGTGTGGAGGATTGGTGCGATTGTCAGGATCGAAAGGCAGAGCCGGGATCATGGGTGGGGGCGAGGAGACCGGCTATCAGCCTTGGTGGGCAATTGACAAGGCTGCATGGCGTGAGCGATTCTCTGTGTTTTACCGTCTCGCTAGTATCAGCGAGAATCGCACTCAGCCGCTTAAGCCCTGGACCGAGCAGGATGTGGAGGACTTCATCAAATCCGACCCCGTTCATGGCCCCAGGGTGAGGATGCTCGTCGTCGACGATTTTGTAGAATTTAGTTTCTAGTTTTTTTTTTTTTTGGGGTCGGGAAGGAGGAGTAGTGTGCATATTCTTTCTCGTTTCTTCGTCTTCTTTGGGTGAATTTGGGATCGATTGTCCTGTGGTGCAGGAGATGTCGACTTGTGAGAATTTCTCTACTGATTCGCGATCTTGTGCATGCAGCTGAAGCTCGTGAGGCAGGGCGCTCAGGTGGCCGCTGCTGGCGCTGTCGTGGGAGGGTTGACATCTGCTGGTGTAGCTATGCGCTATTCCAAAAATTCTCTCGGTAGGAGTTTACAGATCTTCCGCCCACACCGTTGATCCAGCGAGATGTTTAGGGAGTTTCACCTATGGATGAATTCTGGGGAGTGTGTTTTTGTTCGGGTTTGGGTCATGAATGGAGCTCAGCCATTGAGCTAAGCCTCTCGACATTAGTTACTGTATGGTTGTGGAATCTGTATCTCGATGCGTTGTCAAAGCTTTCTTGTTTTTTTGCAGTCTGAGTACATTTTTCTCCAACTTTTTCTCTCGTGCTGTAGATCATTCATGGAAGTTTTTGTTCTTATTCCAGTTTGTCTAGGCTGAGATCGTAATGTCTCAGTGTGTCTCTTGCATCAGAAACCAACCGATTTTACCTCTAGATTCATTTGGGCATTGTAGATGCTCGAACCCAAAATCTGGACTAGACCATATACTACAGATGGAGACCTAATATCTTCGCGCTTCGCTAGTCTAGCAGGAAAGAAGAGTGAACTCCTCTAAAATATCTATTTCATGGTCTTTTAACCTGTCAAACTTTCTTCATGGGTTCATTCAGCTCAATCCATGGAAGAAGACAGTGTTGGACGTTGTTATAATAATTTGATGGAGTTGTCTCTCAATTGCAGGAGCGTTTCTGGCGTTCGCTGGAGGAGCAGCAGTAAGTTGGGCTATTGCTGAAGAAGGTGCAAACTTGGCATTGGGTCTCTACAAGTTTGACTGTCTGGAGTCGAATCTGAAGTTTTTGGACTGGTGGCAAGCAAAGACCGAGTAGTAAATCAGCCTATGTAAACAACTCTTTCACCTCGTGGATACTCCACTTAGTTTGTGCTGAAACGAGGGTTTTGGACCTGTTCTGCTATCCTTAGTGGGACTTTTACCCACACCACTTACGCGAGCATATCTTGTGAAGGCTTGCAGGTTGGAAACACTGTGCAAAAATAAAGTATCCAAAATTGTAAAGATTTCAATGCAACGATGTTCCTTCGGGCATAATTTTTCACCTGAGTTACATTGGTCGAGGCGCCTGCTTTACCCCTTTCTGTAACTTTCTGTGCAAGAGTTTGTTGTAGAGAGGTGTAATCAAGACGTGTCACGAGTGCTTTAATACGAGGCATAGCTTCGTACTTAGTAAGGAGCAATTTAGTGTTTCATCTATGTAACTTATGCGTAAGAGATATAAGAGTCAAGCTACATCACCAGTCGTCTTTCGGTAACGTACTCTCTTCCATGCCGTCGACGTTTCAATGAGTGTCTTAACTTCGTCGAATCTGAATCATGAGAACGGTAGTTCGGTATAGTCTTATTCTGCTTCGTCTGAAGCTGAAATGGAAAGTATACACGTGAGTTTAGGGTTTTTGTCGGTTTGCATAGATGGATACAATCATGTGTATCTATCTGTGCGAGAGGAACAAAGTTATCATCCCATCTTTCCAGCAAAATTTTGGCAGAGTTTGGGATTTTCCATCTTCTTGCACACTCACGTTCAATGAAAGTTCATGTGCTGATGGAACGATATGTTCGTTGGCAGAGCTTTAAGCAAGTGAGCATTGCTGTCGTCCGCGTTACGAACATTTTAGACAATTGTTGTGATACTTCGATCGTTCAGGTGTGATCCTCTTGACATGTTCAAAGACTTGATACAGCTCGAAACGCACGCTTCTCTTGGGCATAAAGGGCAAGTGCTCGCTTTTTCTTTTCGTCAAATTAGGGTGCACACTCTCTGCCCGTTAAAACCTGGACAGAGACAACATCAGTCTTCTCAGGCGTTTTGCTACAGCCATTGGGAGACTTCAAAAAAACCCCAATTGGGCATTAATTTCAATATCTGTGTGGAAAAACTAAACTACAATTTTGTCTCCAACCACAGGGCAGGCTATATCTACACACGAAGTACAACCAAAAAGGCATTTTTTTCTGCTGATGTTGTTTGTTCGTGGCTGCATTTGAACTCAGGCCATTCTCTGCCGAAACTACCTAGGCGCTGGCACCAACAAGGGCGGCTACCCGAGATGTGCCGTGAAGAGCCTCCTCGAACCGGATGATTTCATTCCTGGAACCGTAGGCAACTTGTGTTCTGTCGTCGGTGTTGACAACGACCTTGTCCAAAACTGAAATCTTTCCGTCACTGCTGTAGCCTCCGGCCTTCTCAACCAACAAACCAAGAGGAGCGACCTCGAAGAGCAATCTCAACTTGGCCTTGGTGGTGGGAGAGATAACGTTGGTGAAAATTCCCTTCTCCTTGACAATGATCTACACAACAAAAGGGATGTAGCAGACAATTAGCCAGAGAGGAGAATTCAGGAAGAGAATCACTGAAATGCCAGCTATTAAATCACAGTTTGACTCTAGTCTGGAGATAGAGATTACGCACCTGGTTGACATCAGGAACCATACCGCCGGTGTATCGGAGTGTGTACTTCTCGCTGACGTAGTAGTTGATCAGCTGTGGCAAGGCAATCAAACGTTGAGAATCAGTCAAACGGGGCACAGACAAACAGACAAAATGAAAATCATTTTGATTCAGAAGAGTTGCCAGCAAACATTCCACGGCGCCAACATGTTCACCAACCTTCTCGTACTCGGGGTTGTCGTAGGTGGCCCTCAAGTTTCCGGGGGAGAAGAGCTTTCCCTCACCGATGGTGGTGGTTTCCTTCACGTGTTGCCAGGTTCCTGGACAAGTATAACAGTGTTAGAACCAAATCCTGTTTTGCAAACTCTGTTCAATGTATTAGACAGTTTCCATTCCGTATGAACAACAACAACTCATGGATCACGGACTAGAGAAAAGATAAACTCAGATTGCTCACAGCTACAAAACACAATTGGGAAAGATGACAGTGGGGGATTAGTACCGTCGTCCATGAGAAGGAACTCGTGGGTGCCGGGAACTTCGGCAAGGCAGAGGACGTAGGTGGTTCGGGGTCCATAGATTCCCATGGCAGCAGCTACCTGTTCACGACCAGTCACTCCTGTCAACTTGTCTCCGGGCCAAACTCCGAAGATAGTTCCGACGGTGAAGTTGGTGTCGACGATGCTGGATCCATCCAGGGGGTCGAATGCAACGCTGAAGCCTCCCTCGGTGGGGCCACCCATGTCAACCAGGTTGGGTTCCTCCTCGGAGCAAGCGTATTTGCACACGTGGGAGTGCAAGAGAGCCTAATTTGAGACAGTGAAGCGAAAGTGGATCAGAAGCAAAACTCCACAAACGTATTCCCGCATGCTCTCTTTCAAACAAATGCTGCAAGGTTTTAAAGCTCGGGATTTTGAGGACAAAATTCATTATGTCTCTTCGGAATGAAAGACCTTGCCCATACTCAAGTCTCACTCACAAGAATCCATCAGAAACCGTGAAAGCCATGCCGAAGACCGAGATGGAGCCCAGAGGCGATTTTTCACTCAGGTAATTCTAGGCAGAATATTGGGTGATGAGAATTGGGATAGGGGAAATGTAGAAAAGGCGTACCTCAAAAAGGACCTTGTTGGCCAACATGTCCACAGCAAGTTGCTCATCACCAAAAGTGTTGACACAGGCGGTGGCTCCGCAAGATGCAGTGCGAACTTTGAAGGAGATCTTCTTAATGGCCAAACCCATGCTCAACATCAGCTGCCTCAAGTTGATGTTCTTCGTGTTCTTGAACAGAAACTCCTCCTGTGCACATTCTTCGTATTTCAGATACCACACCACACAACCCAATCATAGGGCAATTTTTACACAGGTAAGAGACCTTGCTCGAGTTCGTGATGAACAGTAGGAAAAAAAGGCATGACTCAGACATGTGAACTCACCAAGCTGTCGCCGAGCTCGGCACGGGTTGAGGCAACCCTGGAGCGGGAAGCCACGGCCTTGTGGGCCACCGACTTCACTGACAAGCCTGCCAATGACTGTCCCAAGATTGAGCTGGACCTACCGCCCTGAACCAATGCCACCACCTCCGTGAGCACGTCCGGACAGCTCACAAAGAGCAAAAAGAGCGAACTTCATAATATACCAACTTCAGATTGAGCGAGTCAATAAGTGACTTAGACAATAAGCTGGACGGAACGCCTCACTCGTTCATACAGGAAGCTTCTTACAGGGATTTTCGTAGTGGTTTTCACTAATTCTTTCGATACCGAAATTGACGTAATTCATGTCTGTCCGTGTTTTGTGGAGTAAGAGAAGAACAACAATTGATTATTGACGGTGTAGAGCTCATGTAAGTTCTTTAGCTGATCAGAATTGTTGCGACACTACCATCCCCAGACCAATTTCAGACACACTGCAGCGTCTAAGGAGCGTTCCACTACTCGGAATTGGACGCGTACTGCATCGGATAGAAGAAGATGCATGAAGTTTTGCAATTCGCACGGGTTCATTTCCGGGAAGGCGAGAGGTGTGAAACTTTACAACGATAAGATGCTTCCAAACTCTGAGGCTAAAAAAGATTCACCCCTGAAACCCGAAAGAGCCCACCGAATTGACAGTACACAAATTGCCAGTCTTCTACGTGATTCGGACGAAATCTTATTATGCACTCTCAAGTACGAACGAAAAATTTCGAGGAGAAAGGGGGAGGAGTGCCAACGAGCCAGCTCAACGTTCACATTTTTTACAGTCAGATAAATGAAGTATTGCAGTCACGAGGAGCAAAGGGTGAAGAACGACAGCCGTGAGACAGGAAACCTACGAGCTTGGCGGAGCGAAGGATCACAGCCTGAGCAGCATTGTTGCTGCTGGTGGTTGCCTGGGAAGGCACAGCAGCGAGGCTGCATGAGGCTCCGAGGGCACTGCTAGCTGCTACCATGCTGGCCATGATTCCTTTCCCTTCCCTTCGTCTCCTCCTTGCTGTCTGCTACGGGTCCGCTCTGGTTCTCGAGAACTGCGAAATTGCGAATGCTGCACTTCTCGATCGGGAAGGAAAGAAGGAATGGGTGAGCGAACACGGCTACTCGCAGGGTCAGTCAGTCGCCATCGAGAGTACGAAAGAGATATCGGGCCGAACCCACAGCTAGTGCAATTCATTGGCTGTCGTTACATCTCGAAAGCAAAGCGCGAGGCAGCCAGTCAGAAGTTCCATCGCCATAGATAGCTCGATACTATTCAAGTCTTGGCGACCACAAGCTCGCTACTCTTGGCTACCGGAGTCAGATAGTTCTTAACTCTGGTTGGGTTGCGCCGGGGTTGAGCTTGAGGCTTGGATATGGATGGTTGTACCGGCAGAGAACTTCGTACACTTCAGCAGGCCAGCCAGAAGAAAGCTCCAGCTCGGCACTCACGTGGACGACAGAGGGCCAAGCTCCGTGCCCGTTCCTCTTAACGACCGATACCATGGATAGTGTTGGCCCCCCTGTTTGAGTGGCCGTGTCTCGCTCTCCTGCTTCGGTCGCCAAAGGCTCGCTGTTAAAGGGGTTGATGCGGTGGATCCCTTTTCCTGTTTTCTGTAGTCAACATCTCCGATTACAGGACTTAAGTTGGAAACAGATACTTCATTAGTTACAACATTACAGGTTCATTTACAACTCAAAATTGTTTCTAATCATGCACTTCCGACTCATACGCGTTGGGAGCCATATAAAATTAATAATGCCCAATTCAGAAGTATGGGAGAAGCCTACCTTCATGGCTAGAAGAAGAGAAGATTGTTCTCTTTTGCATAATATGATCACTGTACCTAATCTCTTTCGTCTAGATAACGGAAGAAATATATTTCATATATTTTTCCTGACTATGAATATCAATAAATAGACAAAAGTTCATTAATGACAATCGTAATGATATCAAAATACGAAATATATCATAGTTGGGAAATGTATGATGTCGAATAAATATTTCGATAAACTCATGCACACATATTTACAACTTTACATGTGTTCTGCCTTGTGTTCGGTCTCTGTCTACTGATAAAAGTTCTAAAGTGAGTGTGTGTGTGTGTATTCTACTACTTACTGTTGTATTCCATTTTTAAGTCAATTTTCTGATGAGACAGCACATAGCTTCAATGAATATTCCAACCGAAAGTCAGGTCAAAATAATAATCTGCTGGAATCTGTAGGAGTGATGATTTGAAAATAAAACAATATACAAAAATGAGCTGAAAGCATGTTTAAGGTATCACATGGTTTTTTTACTAAGTAGTCTTATATGATAGCTTGAATTTTATTATGATGTATATTATGTATTTTGATCATTTAAAATTATATTTTAAATGATTGTTGATGTTGCTACGTTTTGCACAATCAGATCACATCCCTATAAAAAGAATAATTCTTTCAAAATCAAAAAAATTTGTAGGGCTCTATAAAAGATTTTCATGTGATCCTTAGTATGTTTTAAGATTTTATCGTGAAACTTATTTTTTAGATTAATGTTTTATGAAGAGTAATAAGTAATCATTTAAGTGTAATTATTTGCCATTTCAATTTTTTATACTTTTTTTTGGAATCTCGAACATTTAAAATTTAATAATTGTTGACTAAGTATTTTGAATTAAATTATAACATATAGACATAATTTAATTACCAATATGCTTGAAGTAATAACTTTCATTTATGTTGATTCTGCCTCCTATTATGCTTCTATACAGAAAATATAAAATATTTGTACGTTAGCTTTTCATTTTAATCATTTGAAACAAAAATACATGCATGGGTGTTTTTTTAAGAAATTTTATTTTTTGGAGATCATGATTTTATAGTGAAATTTACTACTTTCAAATACTTGTTGACATCCTCAACATCATAATAATTTTGGTTTAAAACTGCTACTTTGGCTTTGGGTTTAACAAAAATCAAGAGTAGCAAAAGGTTAAGTTTGTTCACAGGAAAATTACTAACTGACCGAGCAAAAGTCAAGAACAAAAAAAGCTCTAAATTTCTTTCAGCAACAAACAGAATTTTCATCCACAGCCAAATCGATCGATTAGTCCCACAGGTGCGAGCAATGCATGAAATATTGTGCGGAAGGGAGAAGGTTATTATATATATATATATATATGTATATGCGCATCATCAACTGTATTAATTTGAACGAAGTACGGAACATTTAAATCGAGTACAATGTGTATGCAATTACATTCAAAAGCATGTTAACGAGTATTAGCATTGCTCCGAGAGCTCAATACCTGCTATCCAAAGTGACGAGAGGGAACGAAAGAACCTAAGTCAAGGTGACTTATTGTTGACTAAATCAGACAGATTTACTCGAATTCTTGGGCCTGAGAGGGGAAGGCACATCGACATGAAGATAAAGCTCAACTCATTGTAAAAATATGTATTTAAAAGTTTTCACCTGCAAAAATCTTAAAATAAATATGCTCGTCAATCATTTCAGTAAAGTAAGAATTCTCTCATAAATCTAATTTATCATTCAACCAAATAAACGAACGTACTAGTTGGTTAATCTATTGTGTGTGGATCAAAAAAAGCTCTTTTTATATACTGGTTTGAAGGAGCTAGAAAATATGATATAAGTGAGTAGAATATATGTCTTCCAGAACGGGATATTTCCCTAAAATTATTTTTTTGCTAAAATGCAGATAAAAATCGATATGCACTTGATAATAAGATTGCAATCTATTCAATGGAGATAATAATGCTTTTTTTGTAACTGATATGCTACAAAAAAGCAGAAATTAAAAATCTTTCATTCAGAATCAAATTGCAGTATCATTTTATAACAGGTTTTTTCAAAGTTTCAATGATAGCGGTTGTAATTTCATATTACACGGAAAAGATTTGAATCATATTATGTGATAATTCCTTTACTAAAGAAAAATCAAAATGAATCGTGTTATTGCATAGAAAACTATATTGAAAACATACGATGCTGATTAAATATATATTAAAGTAAAATTTTCATTCATCTACTCAACTCATAATCCGGTTTTTGAGAACAATATCAATGGTGATTCCATTTTGTCTGAACGAATCACTGGCAGCTGTCAATGCCTTAAGTAGAACACAATGGTCTATGTTTAACTCAATGCCGCAATATGTTGTCTTATAATGCTGGCAATGCAATTTAAAAAATCATGAATTGAATTGATGAAAAAGTTCTGCATACCGAGTATGGTACTAAATTTCAGACCACAACAAGTCTAGTAAGAGTTCGTAACTGGGGAAGAGTTAGCCAGGTGCAAAGAGTGGTAGAAATAGGTATGTATCCCTATCAGAAGAAGCCTGATAGAAGTATCAGCAGGATGAGATGCTGCTGTAAGGTACTTGGCTAGTAGTTGAACCATGATACCGTATCTCCTTTGTTTTCAATCACTGGAAAGCCTATTAATAAAATTCACTAGGCTCGATTCCGTGGAAGTCTTGCCCTTCTGTTGGAGGTTAAATGCAAACCAAGTAAATAGATAAATAGATGAATAGATAAATAAATAAATAAATAAATAAAGAAGAATGATGAGTACTCATATCGATTTGAGGATACAAACACGGTATTCTTTCATCTGTTGCTGGTACTTGGCCTGTCCTATCTCCATAAAAATCTCCTCCAGACTGAGTCGGAGGAGTTTGGGTACACGAGCTCGAGAGTATGTTAAAGTTCAGGAGATGAACAAGAGGTTCTTCAATTTGTTTCAGTGAGTTGCTCCCATGGTTGACAAGCCAAACCAGGCCGGCGAATTATTCTTGTCCTCGCCAATCGATGCATGTTCTATCGCTGGCAACTACGTACAGAGTGCAGCTGAAGAATGGGAGGTCTGAACGTTAATTGCATCAACCTCCGGCAGGCTTTTCAAACTCTATAGCGTATACCGACTTAAAAATAATTTTAGCTTCGTCCATAAGTCCTGTGATTTCTAGATGTCGCTTGTGATCAAGCGAATCTCGAGAAATCGAGAAATCCATGATGTTGATCCGGGTCAGAATATGACGGGTTGCCTTCTTTCGTTAAGGTCGTCTGCCTCTCGAGCTCTTCGAAGTCAAACTCTAATTTTTGACGGAGCATTTCTTACGAATCTCTCCTTGAGAACCCGTCAACACGTGGATTTTGCTCATCTTCACCATGGCGGCTGCGAAATCCTCGAAAAACGAGGAGCCTGGTTGTGCTAATCTGGTCGCTTGTGCCAGGGTCCTAGAGTCGGTGGCGAGTACAGCGTCTGAGGTGAAAAGTCCTCCCCTGGCTATGACCTGCTTGAAGTACGTGCGGTCGAAGACGTTTGGAGAAGAATCCATGGTGATAATTGTCGTGACGTCGTTGGGAGGGCACTGCTTCTTCAGGTTGGCTGCCAAACTCGAATCCATGCTCGCGTCTATTTGTCCGTGCACTCCATTGAAGTTGTACAAGCGGTTGAGGATGGGACCGCAGTGAGCTCTTCCGAAGGTGTGCGCTCCTCATCGATCGGACAAGTCCAACACGTCCGAAGATTGAATCTCATGCTTCCGAATTCCACTCTCTACACTGGACACCGAGTCTATCGTGTATGTTGTCCCAGATAACAGAAACTCCCACGATCGCCAGGAACAAAAAGCAAGAGATCTGCTTCTTCATGCCACTATGGCACATGATACAAGTCCATTTTGAGTGTTGCTGTTCTCCAGCTAATTACTATGATGCTCTAGGTAGACTTAGACTGACTGAGGAAGAGCTAAAGAGACTTGATTACCTGAGAGGACGATCATGTCCGATGCGTTGAGCCCAACAGCTGCAAAGTTTTGTATCAATTGACCGAGGTTCATGGATGGTGATGGGAGCGCCGCCAGGGCCTCTGACGCCAATGACACCGTCCCATCCCTGCGTCCGAGAAGAACGGGCCAAGTTGGACCTCCTGCCTGTTGTGTCATCACGGTGGATGAATGTTAGTCACAAGTTCGAATTCAAGGACTCAATTCAGCTGATCAGATCCCATGACTAGATCCGAATCCGTTCATGCTTGATGGAGCCTTCAGCGAGCAAAGAACAGATGAATTTCACTGGAACTAGGAGCTTTTGTATGTAGACGTACCTTGACGGTGGCATCACGTGCTACGATGGCCAGTATATCTGCACAAGAGACAACGCCGGGGCATGCAGCCTCGAGTGCGGATTTGACTTGATCAATTTGCTGGAATCCTCTCAACGAGTTTTTATTTGGTGGGGCGTCGATCTCTTGATTCGTTGATGAAGAGGAGACCAAAAGTACGGATGCATCACAGCCCTGAATTATGAAACATATAAACGCCCTCACGTCAACTGGGGATTGGCATAAGAAAGAACTTTTGTAGCTTTAGCTTGAAATTGGACACTGTCATATGGACAATCTTCCCCTTGCAGCAAGCCGTCGAAATCATCTGAAACCACAATTGGTTTGAAGGCATGAAAATGACTAACAAAGATCTCATGATAACTGATTATTTGAAGGCCATTCTGGTGGGATTCTGAAGCTCGTTAGCTGTATCAGCAAGTCCGGCATAAACATTTTAGATACATATATGCTGAATGGGTTAAACATAGAAGATGGTTTGAAAATACATCATAATTAGGATGTCAGTGGTTGCTGTGGAGCAAGAAATAGCCGGTGGACTTACTCGGACGAAGCAGTCATGAAAATGAAGGCGCTGCAGGCCCCCGGCAAGATTCGGATTGGCTGCAAGGATGCTGTTAACCTGTTTGCTTACGATGCTCAATGCTGCTGGGCAGGATTTGCTGTAGAAGGTTGTAGACAGTTGCGCCTGCCCGACTGCTACCAGCGACAAGAGGGCCAAGATAGCAACAGACGAGAGCCATGCTCTCGAGAACGCCATGGTGCTTGAAGGAGATCGAATGTACTCTCCTAAGGAATTCGACGAATTCGTTGACTAATGATGAAGATGAATGCTAGAGTGGAAGCTGAATTGCCGGAAAATACATACATTGTCAAAAACTTCCGATGTCAGCAGAACAGATATCACAGTCTTGTGTGCATCATCCAGACTAGAGGACAAATCTCACGGTTTCCATGACCTCAAGGATTCATTATGACAAGCAAGGTCAACACATGTTCACCATGCAAGAACTTCATGCAGAAGTATCAGAGCTACAAATCAGAACTATGCAAACAAATATCACACTATCATCTCTAACGTTCTGACAGTGAACTCTTGTAAGATGGGTAGAAACTGCACGAGAAAACTTAGAAGGTGCTTGGTTTCATAGTAACATCATGGCTTCCAGTTCACTGCAGTCAAAGAAACACGTACACACGGAGAGCTGCTGAAATGAGTACCTGAAAGTGAATCCAGATGATTCAGATGCAAGTGCTTGTTGTATTCCACTATGGCTCTTCTTATACATGGATCTATCAGCTACAAGAAAAGAAAAGAGATTTGCTAAGAAATTTGGACAAACCTCTGCGAGTTTCAAGCGATTCTGTCCCATGGATTACCTGACGTATTTGACACACATGTGTAGGTATTACGTGGTCACGATTAGAAAGATTCAAATCCGCCTAAAAAAGTGCCCCTACTGTGAGAGCATTACCTTCCTAAACTCCCTAACACTTGATATATGGAAGAATTATGTTTGCCATTTCTTTTCAGTCTTGTATGTTAACGCTCCGCTTTGAGCTTTGAAACAGAAGAAGCAAATCTGTAGATTTATCAGCCTTGAAGAAAACATCATGAAACAAGTACCTTGTTTCATATGAATATATTCTTTGCTTGTAGTTGCATTGCAGATTTTCTGAATGTAAAAAAATAAATTCTTTGTTTTGTAATTCGATACGGAATCCTTCTCTACAATTTCCGGGGTGTGTAGGATGAAAAATCTGAGTATTCATCCACTGCTAATCTTCTTCAAAAAAAGATGGTTTCGTGGTGGGGTTTTCTCTTTGGGAAATTTTGTATGATGTTGTTTATGAATTTGTAGCGTAAAATTAATGTTAATTCGTAAGCGGTTCTGCAGCTTGTGGTCCATCAATATTGGAACAGGTGAACAGAGGCTCAAGAAGAGGGACAAGCATTGGAGTCCTATTTATGCTCAAGCACATCGCTGGATGCACGGTATAGTAGGCTGGCATTTGTGAGGTAGACTAGACTTTGCGCTCTATGCGTGAAGATTGAGTCCTCTATGGACGTTGACTCTTTTAATACCACACTCCCATCAATTTGATCACCATCTGGAAGGAAACTCCAGGAAACCTAGCATCCGCGAAACATTTTATTCACATACGACGAGAGGAGAAACTATGAGCCCTCACAAGCACCACCTGTGGGTTGAAGCTCAATACCAATCAAAACACAACGGACATTGAGTCGTTGAGATTGTTCTTCTGTATTCACAGGCCAGGGAGTCTGCATACGATGCATGATCGAATCACATTAGAGAACAGCCATTGTACGAATTACACCTTAAGCTATTGCAGGCAGGCGGGCCGAAGTTTTCATTTCCATGCAGATTTGTGCAAATTTTGAGTTCCTAGTTCTGACAGCTGAGATCAACGGATCTTGGATACGAGTCGACTGGCTACGAAAGCTCTTCGGGAATTATATTGGCCTGATATGTCAATCAACGTTGAGCTCAAGTCTTGGAATAATTTCAGTTCCTCATGGTAGCCGACGAATATTCCTAAGCGACTAACAGTTTTTAAGGCCCTACCGAATTTAGTCAATTTAAAAATCTCACTATTTAGTATAGGTCCCCATTCTGAACCCCCAACACGTATAACTATCTTTTATATCTTGTATAGTAATAATCTCATCTTATGTAAAAAGGAGAGGGGATAAAAGTTCATGGCCCATATAGAGGGGTAGATTAGTTGCACCTGAAGCATCTCAATATACACTACATGCTAGGAGCTTCAGTTTGTAGGATGCAGCCCCACATCAAATGGAGCATATCCGTTCATGCATTTGTAACTAGAATGCATGCATGGAATGTGTTCAATTTGAAGAATTGGAGCTCTTTGAAACGAGACTTTGGATAAACAGAAATGTATAACGCTTGAGTTTCAAGGAGAAATAAAGCCTTTCAGATGCACGTACACCCTGGAACGGCTGGCAAGGCCATGATGTTTTCCTCCCTCAGTTGATATGATTTTGAAATGCATGGCGCTTGTACTTGACCTTTTCAGAAAAAAATGGCCGAGTCTTCATTTGCAACTGCGACCTAACCTTGATTCCACCTTCGTTCTCAGAAGACAGTGATGCTCAGCAAGGAGCACTCTGGCATGATCTTTAGTGAGCAGAAGTAAATCTTTTGATAATTATATAAAGTCTTTGTAAAACTGCTATAAAATGCATATGCGCTAGTGTTTCCGAAAGCCTGTACACTGCGTGCTTGCCTCGGTATACCATGCTGAAAATTTCTATCATGAATCGATTCCTAATCATCAACACGGTTGTGCCGTCTTAGATGTTCCTGCAGTTAGAGGAATTGTGGGAGATGACATTGTTTGTGTCGATCCTCGGACTCTCTTTGTTCAAGGTTCTTGAGAATAAACAACAATAGACACCGGTTCCAAGTAGATCTGCACATGAATATAACGATCCTCGGAATCTCGATTTCCTAAGATTCTCTTTTAAATATACTCCTCAGGTATGCATATGTTCATTTACGTTTCAATCTGATATTGTCAGCGTTGATTTTCAAGCGCCGCCAATTGATTCCGCTATCAGCTCCTTGGGGAAAAGACCATGGGGCTCCTCCTGTTGGATAAGATGCTGCTGGTCGAAATTAGGGAGTCATCCATCTGCTTTGTCAAGAAGCTTGTCATAGAGAAGAAGAGTGGCAATTGGCATGATATTTTTCCATAAATTAAATAACTGTCGCTACTTGCAGGAAGATATAAGAGGGCACAGTTTTGACTGTGATAAGTAAGATCTAAATTATTGGTGTTCTATAAACTGAAATCAAAACTCAGATCAACACTCCTAAGGTATCTACCAGATCTGCTGATATTTTCCTTGAAACTGGCTACATGGCTACTCATGCTAAGAGCATTGAGGACTGTTTCAAAAGATGAATGTGGGATAGTTATAGAAGTGCATTGTGCAATCTTTTCCGCTGAAATTAACCACAATGGTTTGAAATTGCCATGAAAGTCAAGTCTTTTGTCCGTAATTGGCAAAAGTGCCAAGGTTGACACCATAGCTATCGAGCTACTTAATATACTCTCGGTGGATACCATGTCATCTTCCGGGCAAGGTGTGATTGTAATGTGCATTACCTCTTCTTTTACCACCATCGAATGTCTTTTGTCAACAAGATCTTTGCAGGGAAGTATGTTCGAAGTTACATTCTGTTTATTTTAGATTTGATATCTATGAGTGTACATTTATATAGAATGTACATCAATAACGTCCCGATTGTTATTGAAGCCATTCTGGTTTTAACTTTGTCTAAAGTGATTTTAACATACTTGGGTTGAATAAATTATTGATATTTATTTTGAAAAATAAAAATATTATACATGCTTAACAAAATCAATCACTTAATTCGATATCTGGACTACTTCATTCACGACAACCGAAATCCAGACAATCGATACTACAAAACAAGGAGTTCTCATAGTTCTTTCGATTCCAGACTTGCACCCCGGACAAAATAAGTGTCTGCATAGTTTGTAAGAAGCTTCAAAAGGCTGTTAGAGACACCGTGGATTGCCATGTGAAAACTCTTACCACAATTTCTAATGAAGTTCAAAACCAGGATTTAGAATTCATTGTCCGAATCATGCTCGTTATGCATCGTTTAAATGTCTGTTAAATGTATGCAATGTCGTTTATAGTTATCCCTTTTTCCTCTTTTGAAACAGTCCTCACTGCTCTTAGCATGAGTAACCACGTATCCAGTTTCATGAAAAATATGCAGCAGATGCTATCGGGCTCCCAACAATCAAGTAACTGCCGTGGGATCTGCTTTCTTTTGGTCGATGTTTTTCTTAGCTGCTTCCGACCTCTAGCTCCAGCTAGACTTCCCAGCTCAACAAAATCTCAGGCTCTGATAGTTTTTCCCCTCGGGAAGCCCATCCCCGATCTGACACCCGCTATGTGGTAGGTACCTTAGGGGACCAGCACTTTAGGAGTGGTGATCTGAGTTTTGACCTCGGTATCTAGAACACTTATAATTTACATCATCTTTATCACAGTCAACCTTGTGCCCTCTTGGATCTTCCTGCAAGTAGCGACAGCTATTCAGCTTATGGAACAATATCATGCCAGTAGCTACTCTCCTTCGCTTTCACAAGCTTCTTCACAAAACAGATGGCTGACTCCTTGATTTGGACGAGCAGCGTCTTACACAACAGGAGTAGCACCATGGTCTCTTCCTATGGAGCTGATAGCGGATCGGATTGGCGGCGCTTGAAAATCAGCGCTGACAAGATCAGGTTGGAACGTATATGAACATCTGCATACCCGAGGAGTATAATTCTAATAAAATCTTGGCAATTCGAGATTCCGACAGTTCTTATATACATGTGTAGATTTACTTGGAACCAGCATCTGTTGTAGTTTATTTTTAGGAACCTTGAACAAAAAGAGTCCGAGGATCAACACAAACAATATTTCATCTCCCACAATTCCTCAATATCTTAACTGCAGGAAGATCCAAGAGGGCACAACCGTGTTTATGATTCGGAATCGATTCATGATACAGATTTTTTAGCATATGATACCGAGGCAAACACGCAGTGTCCAGCGGGAGACTATCCTTCGGAAACACAAGCGCATTTGCATTTGACAGCATGTTCACAAAGACGAGTAGAATCAAAAAAATATATCCTTGTGCTCACCAAACAGCGTGCCAGAGTACTCCCAGCTGAGCA